GTCATCACTTAACAGAGCAGATACTTTTCTAATGGAACAAGATGCTATTGCAGGTGATAATGATAAGAAATAGTGGATAAAGCTAATTGTCCTCTAAACTAGTGTACAGTTTAGGTGGTTGAAGTGATGTTTACACAATTTATGTTTCATAATTTCACTGAATTACAGTCTTCCTCTTTGACTGCTTGATTGGAATTAAATTACCTTTCAGGGTTGCTTTATCTTAATGTGGAAACTTTAACAGAGGATTTTTTTTAAGTTCTCATTCAGTTTAATCTATTTGCCTAAGTTAATACTACGATTTTTATTCTTTTGTTATCAAACAAATTGCTATAATTACTTTCAGAACAACAAAAAGGCAGAAATGCTAAAAAGAACAAGAAGAAGAAAAAAGGAAGGCAATATGCTAGAGAAGTAGCAATCATTCAGGGTACACAGGCTTTGTGTGGAGGCTTTTATAAGGTAAAGAATGAGAGTAGCAATAAGTTAAGTAACTGTTTAAGGCAGTTGTGTATAGTTTAATATAATGATATACTTTACATTAATCATTTCTTAAAGAACCCCATTCAAATAGGGTTCATTTCTCTTTTTTATAACTGGATATTTTGTTATTGAAGTACAATTTGTTTAAACATTTGCATTTCAATCCTCAAGAAACCTAGAAAAAATTGTGAAAAGAATATGTTGGCATACATTCCTTAACAAAAAGAGTTGAAGTCACCAATGTTAACATTTTCTATCCATCACTTACATCTTTTGTCCATCTTACAGGCACTAGTTGGGTTCAACATAGATGGTAAACTAAAGCAGCCAGAGGTGGAGTTTGACAGTGAGGAGGTCAGATATAACCACAGATTTGCACCTTTTGGGGTGGTGGGCACCCCACCTCCAGTGCATTACACACAGTTCAAAGTGAGTTACAATGTGCATCTTTTCTTCAAAAATTATGTAGATGCTGGCCTCAGGTTTTGATGTAATATTTAGTCAGGTCAATATTTAGCAGACAGGAGGAAATTATGTATTTGAGCAGCAGTAGTTGTCGACACATAATTTTTTGGTAGAAATCAGACATCTAGTATTATAATGGTAAGAATTTGTATGCATTTTGCTACATTTTATGTGTTAGTTCCTTGTTGCAGGCAACTTTTGTTGGTTTGTTGATTTTTGTAGCCAGTTATCTCTGGTTTATTTTGTGCTATACATTTGTTTAGTTAAGGGTAAAGAAAAATCTTGTTAAATCTTTCAATCCAGGATATGACAGATTTACGTCGTTTTGATCATGACCCTTCTGCACAAGAAATGTACACAGCTGCTTGTAAGAACTTCCAGCAAGCAAGAATTTGTTATGAGTCTGTCAGTAACCCTACAGAAGAGGTGAGAAACACTTCTTTGTGGATGTCTTAAAACTTTTAATATAACATAATAAATTTAAAAAATTTGAAATGACAAATGTTTCAGTAGACAAAACTATAACATCTAAAGTTTGGTGTTTTTTTCTATAAATAGTTTAAATTTTCTAAATGCCTTTAAACTTGTACTGTGACACATGTATTTAAAGCATTTGATATATCAAAACTTCCACCATACTGTATTTTTAGATCTGATGTCAGGCCCGGGACTTTAAATTTTTCTAATTATCCTAATTTACCTTCATATTTCTTTTAGATAAATAATTTGATAAAAGTATCAAAAACCAACATGGTAGTAATGAATTTGTTAGCAGGAGGGCATAAAAAGGAATCAAAGGTAATATGCTCAACATATAAATCATTTTTATTTAAATTCCAATTATCATAATAATCCACATGCTGTTTTCTATAAATTCTCAGATGAAGTACAATCTTTTATTCTTATTTTGCCAGTATAAAATATTTGTTAATGAATTTTTACTTCCCATTCATTTTGAAAACCTGTTTGTGAATTTTTTACAAAGTTGAATATTTACCTTGTATCAACTTAAGAAGTCAGATTTCATACCACTTGGTTTCAAGTGAATAAATAATCGAGATTTCAGTGCTACTGATTCTGCTAGGCAGAATTCCAGGAGTTATGACATTGTCTTAATCCAGGTTTTTCTCCACTGTTTGCTGCCAAGCAGCCTTCCTCTCCATCTCGACTTAATAGAGATGGACACGTCTAATTTGCTTTATACCTATATGATTATCTACCTTTTTTTCCTGATCTGTTTCAGAATCCACCAGGATGGGACTTCTCTGTTCATAGGAACTTTCCCATCATCAAAGTTATGTAACTCAGCCAACCTTATCAGCTGATGCTAAATGTCTTCATTAAATTATGAATTTTTAAGATGAAGTGTTTTCCCTGACAATATGAGTGGAAATGAAACTGTAACCTAAGGAAAATAAAGGAGAAGACCTTTAGTTTGAGAGATAAAAAAAAAACAAAACAAAGGTCATAACTGATCAAAGTGACAAGTTACGTGTGGTTTTCACTGCATAATAAATAAATAAATTTTAAGTTGGTGATTTTTCATTTTTTCTTAAAAACAATTTATCAGTTCTTTTGTTGCTTTTAACTCATCAGTAATTCAAAGTTTTTAAGTTAATAGATCCAATTTTTCAGTACAATAAATACAAGTAATAGTAATGATTTTGCTGTGAATCTTGGTAAAAGCGTAATCCATCAGGCAAGCATGCACCAAACTGGACAGCAAGTGATAAATTGGTGTCACTTTGCCCAGAACCAAATTTGCTTTCAGAAATATTGATGCTAACATATGTACTGCATGTGACAAAAAGTTTGTAAAAGTGACACAGCATCTGTTAATTTTAATGTGCATCTTAAACAAATTAAATTGTTAAATCCTTGCCACTTAACCAGACCAAATGCCATGAAATGGTTTCATATAATACCTATATTTACCTACACTCGTTTGAATAATTATGCTATGCACACACCATACATTACCACATCATTTGGGGATTTCTACATACTGGAGGGTCAAATTTATTAAATATGAAGATGGAGCAGTTTTACAGTTTTTTGCTCACCTCATGATTTATCTGCTCTATCCTCTGACATGTGGGCTTTGAGTCATATAAGGAACTGATAGTAATGGTATAAATGTATTACAAGGCCCTCAATTCACATGCAACTTGAACATCATTAAACATTATTTGACTTCAATTGACGCCATGAAAAAGCAGATTAGTGATATCTTTAATAATTGATTAATTTATTTAAATTTCACAAAGCATAATCATACAATATATTCTTTGGGAGTATTTCTTTATTGAGGGGCATCATCTCAACTGAGTAAAATTGGAAAATATCAAATGGGAAGTTTCTTTACTTTGACTTCCCTAATGCTAATATTATAAACTGATATAAAATTCTTAAACAAAATGTATATAACTAAATTCTAAATCCTATACAGCTAAATGAACGCATATAAAATTAACTTATAATCACATACTAAAAACTATTTTTAATCCAATTTTACAAAGTGGTTATGTGGAGATTCCACTGTGCAATCTTTTATATAATGTAGAAATCAGACTGACTAGAGTCCATATTAAATCAGATTTTGGTATATGCTAATATGATATCATACTTAATTTGAAAAGTGTTGTCATGGATTTAAAATAATGTCTACTAAGAAATGTTACATGATAGATTATATAGTACACTGTACTAATAATTAAACTTCACAATCCTTTTAGAGCAAGTTCAGAGGCAGTGAAAGTATGACAAACATTCAATCCTAGTGGCAAAGTTTAAATTGACCATCCTTATTCCTAAATACAATGAGATCTAGAGCATACAATGTCCTCTTTTTGTGGCAAGAACCCACACTGCATTTCTTCAAGTAATTCATGGATTTTATTTCAAGGATCAGTAAGAAGGAACTGACCACTCCACTTCGATGGACCATAACTGGTGTTGTTCAGCCAAGAACATGATTAATGTGACCCTGTAAAAGATAATAAATGCCCATTATTATTAAATAATACTAACTGAAGCTGAATCAATCTTCACTCAATTCACTATTTCACATTGTAAATTAATGAAAAAAAATTAAAATTCTTAACTGCCATACACTTGATTAATTCTTAATTGCAGAGCAATTTATAATGGGTTTGGGGACTGAAAATTGTTATCCCAAGTTTCAAAATGGTGCAGGACCTGCAAAGAATGTCATTGCCAAAGACATTTCAAATACAAGGGGCTGCTTTAACAAAATAACTCTTGACCAAAAGTTGGTCATACCATAATTTTGAGTCTATTTCAGTTCAAGGTAATTCCACAGTAGTCCACTAACAAAATAAAATATTAACTAACACTAGCCAATTCTTTCATGTTAAAAAAAACCCCTTGCATTGTAATGCCATTGATTTAGCTTGGGACAGAGTTTAAACTAAAATATTGGTCTTCAAGTTGAGATCTAATATTTGGTCAGAATGAAAATGGAAAGAATCACTTACAGATTCTCCTGCCAGACAGCGCACACACCTCCTCCTCACTACTGGGTACAGGTGTAAACCCTGTATAGAGCAGTTTATGTCAGAGTAATACACTGGTGGTGCAGTGCTTACCTGAAACATAAGTGTTTGAAATTCAAATACTTGCTGTAATTATATAATAATCTTTATTGAAATATTGCAAACCGAAGGTTGAAGTTATATATATATTTTATTTATTTATTTATTTTAATCAAATTTTTATTTAAGACAATTATTACTGGCTTATTAAACCATAAGTTACTAATAATCAATATCAACTGCTATATCCAATCATTCACTATGATCCTTCCATCCATCTGTAAATATTCTGATGTACTGTCGTCAAAGGATAATTTCACAATATTTTCATACATTTTATTTCAAAAATGTATGTCACTTTCATTTCCATTGGTTTAGTCCAATATGGTTAAAATGTGGTGTAATGATTTTTTTCTTCTTTGAAGTTATATGAAGTGAGAATAGTGTGGTAGTTTTTACTGGCTGTAAATATATTATTACTCCTGACCATAGTCATAACTTACCTCCATGGATTCAGCTGTGTCAGTTTGGTTTTGAGAGAAGACACGGTTGTTGATATTCATATTAAATGTGGATTCATTATTTCCTGAAAAAATTAATGGACACATTATTGTCATCATTGAAGTATAATGCAATATCTAAATCCTGCCTTCCACAAAATTGCGCACCATTGCTGTATAATAAAACTTTCAGTTAAACAAATCTTAAAGTGATAAATGAATAAAACATTTTGTGGCATACTGTGTCACTTGATACTTCTAAAAGCTGACATGTTAATATCTATAAAATTCAGAAAGGGTTACAAGAAATGTATTTTAAGTACTAGTAAAGAAATGGAGTTGTAAGCCTTAGTCTTTAAGTTTCAATCACCTTAATTGGTTAATTAAGAGAAATTAAACTTGGATTATTCTATAAATCAATTACCTGATACATGGGTAATGTGAGCAGATACCCTGAGATCATAACAAGGTCTTTTCTGAAATTATTGGTGTTTATAAATAATGTGATAAATCAAAAATGCTAGTCCTGTTTTTCTCTAGTACCATCAAAAACAGCATTTTTGGAAAAACAAATATACAGCTTGGATTGTTCAACAGTAATACAAACAGCAATAAAATTCATGTACACAAAACTAAAGAAATATCAAACTTTAATTAAGAGACCTTATACATTATTTTGACATTACACTACATATACCTGTAATAAATGCGTACTGTCCTTGTGGTTTGTATTGCTGTTTTCTACATCTGTCTGATGTAAAAAACTACTTCCTCGCTTTCTATTCAAAGCCATTTCTTCTTCTTCCTGTAAATACCATCAAAGAAAATCATGCATGTTTTTTTTTTCAGTCTTTAAACGTGTTGTATCTTGTACAATCACTGTTAATGTAATAATGCTTAGCACTTTCCTTTGTTTATTCATATTATTTATAGCATGTGGGCACTAAGCCCAGCTAGGTAGACCACTATATAGCTGCCACTATTTAACTCTCTTTCCCTAGCACTCCTACGTTAAATGTTACATTCACTGTGCTGGAGAATCCACAAGTACATGCCAGTGCATATAAGTTCAGTTAAGAAAGACTCGCGGATCCGCCGCTACGACAACCATGCATTGGTAAATGCAGTTTGAGTGTATTACTATATTGGTATTAGCTACCTGGTCGGTGTAAAAATGAGATTGTTTTGAACGATATGTCTTCACTTATTCATGCTCATGGTGTCCCACGAGGCTTACCTTCCCACGAGGCTTACCTCCTTATTTCCACAATTACTCTTCTTCTTCACATAATCATTAAATCACTCAAATAAAAGTTATATCAAAAGAGCGTCTTCATTAAGACTGACACAACAATGTCACTCGCGGCGTGCATTCGGATTTTAAAATGGTGTTTACATACGATATGCGCAGATTTGATTTGCGCAAAAGCGATCGAAAGGGAATTGGGAATTTACGATTAATATTTAATCTAAAATATAATCGCTTGATTTGTGAAAAGTATTCTCTAATATATATTCAAAATGAAATTAATTGGAATTTGAACCAATGTGAATTGCTCAAAACTTTATTTGTGATAACCAGAGTTACTCTAATTTCCTTTCGGCGCACATAACACACATTACACCGGAAGCTTACAGATGCTCCACTTTTGTTTGCATGGAAACGGCGGAAAATGATCGAATATCCTGTTAAGGTGAGTTATATTTTAGTACCAGCGGTATTTAATGGAAGTCATTTCGAATGCGATATTGTAAAACTTAGCTTGTTAACTTAGTGCTTAGTTGGATTTGAAAATATACGGGCCACATATATAACACATTGGTAAAACTCTCACCCCCCTTCCCCCTCACGTACAGTGATACAGTTTCTAGACTAGAAAACATGGGCTTCAGAATGTGTTATCTATCTATTTATCTATCTATCTATCTATCTATCTATCTATCTATCTATTATTAAAATGTTTAGTGATCATGCAAGAGTCAGAGCAGAAACCATTAAGACGAAATCTACCCATGCTTGAAACAGAGCTACTAGTACTACTGAGTAGTAGCAAGGCAGTTGAAATGTGTGTACCAGTAACTAGGATGGGACAGATATTTTTTCACAATTTAGACAATGCACTCTTTACATTTTAGCAGTGTCACATGTATAGTTGAAAAGTAAAGATATGTAGAGTCTTAGTTTTCACACCTAATACAGTATATGCATGTTGGGTTGTTCATTTTCATATTTCCATATATTTGCCTTATTTTATACCTTCATAGTGAAACCTGTAAATACATTAGTTTATTTTTAATTTCATGTATGTTTTATTTTTCAGGATGTTTAAGAGGCAAAGCAATTTGTCCATCCACCCCTTGGATCCCACCCCAGAAAAACACCTGTTTGACACAACACACATTTCACAGTCGAGCAATGACAGGCTAGGGAACAGTTCAGATGGGGAGAGAAGTAGGGACAGTGTCAGTCTCAGAGGAAGTCCCAGGGGGAGTCCCAGGGGGAGTCACAGGGCCACTTACCAAATCACAGAAGATGAGGTTTGTTTTAGGGAGTGCCATTCACAGAGTGAAGGTTTTTTTTTTTTTGTTTGTTTGTTTGTTCATGTACTTATCAGTTGATTGAAATGTTTTATACTTCATAATTCTGTACTTTTTAGCTCACACAAAGCTTTGAATACTACTCTGTTTTTTTAACACTGTCTTGTAGCAAAAATTACAATCTTACANGAGCTTTTGGTCAACTACAATGCATTTAAAATGCATCAGCAATCAGTAAGTTTGCCAACTGATGACAGTTAATCTGAAAGACTACCAGCTCTTGATATGATCTAAACCACCTGAGGTGACCATGATCTAGAGCATCGCAACTATTGTCACCGAAGTTAGTAAGTAAGTCACGGAAGACCGTCACAGACAAAGAAAGATTGTCAACGAGAGCTGCAATTTTGGTGAATCCCACGGCAACACACCGAGGCATAACGAAAATTCCTCAACTCCGTTCAACACAACTTTCCTTAACTTCTCCGTCTGTATGCACCTGCAGCTTAGTTGAGTCTCATAGACCTTTATCGTGATTGTCGTCACAGTACCACGTGACCCAGATCTGTTGCTTCATTTTTGCATATTGAGGTGAGGTTTACTAAAACGCTTTTTTCCTACTAATAGATTGTTTTTATAATTTTTAAATGGCGGGAATCGATTAAAACATACCTCTAGTGTATAGATTGAGTGCTGTATCTTCAAAATTCGAGAAATGGATTTTTACATGAACATTGTCCTTTAAGGCTATCAATGTATGATGTTCATAGTCTTTCTCTACTTCTTCTTCATTTAATTTCCCACAGAGTACATGTACCAGTTTAACTATGGGGTAAAAGAATTGATGACATCATTTTGTAAAGTGACCGTATCCAATACTGCTAAGAAAGCGTCAGCAGTGAGTCCAAATGAAATAATTTGGCATCTTAAAGTAACTTTATTAAAGAGACTTGATGGGGGCCAACTTACCCTGGGGTCCAACTAGCCCCGGTCTCCCCTAATCACAGCGGAGAGCTCGAGTGCACGCGTTCTCAATACGAGAAAGTGGTCGCAATAGGGCAGCGAGTACAAGTATTCGCTCGGTCCGGGAAATTTGGGGGGAGGAGGGGGGGGGAGAGACCGAAGTTGAAATATGAATCAGCTGTTTCGTAACATTTTATATTAATGCATAAAAAACTGGAAGATTAAATGCTCCACCTCTGGGGCGACCTTTGTGAACACATAGTACTTTCGTATACTGATTATCTATTCTCACAAATAATTTTGTCAGATGCTTCTATTCTTACCAGTAAATAGAAAAAAGTTCCAGATTGTAGACGTGTCCGTTTTAGAAGTGGTTGTTTAGGTTACAGCAAATAAAGTTAGACTGGAATGCGAGTTATTTATATAAATCTATAAATTGACTAGTCGCTTCCTGCACTTGTTAAACAAATATCTCCTTAAAGAAAAGAAGGCAAATTCTTGACGCGAATTGTTGTGCAAGTACAGTCTCAACAGATTTTAAATGCATTCCTGACCAGCCCTTGACACCCATTTTTCCTTTTATTTGGTTTATAAAAAAATCCATTTTCTATATCCCTCTCTCCTTTTTGAAATAAATGACTTTGTTTATAATTACACAACATTTTGTTGCATAAGTTGGCACTGCTTTGGATTTATTTGTAGTTTATATCAAGATTGCATTATAGGACAACAACAACAACAACAACAACAATAATAATAATAATAATAATAATAATAATAATAATAATACAGATGATGCTGTACAAGACAATTGTTACAAAACATTCAACAAAAATTAAAAATGAAATGGGGCTGTCACCTTTTATGAGTGCTTTTACACAAATCTATGTAGTGGTGACATCTTTATGGACATAAACCCTTTTCATATTATCTTTAAATGTTTTAGATATGACGTTTTTAAACTTGCAAGTCAGATACTGCTAGTCAATCGCAATGAGCGCTTTATTTCATGTAAAATTTGCTTCTTTTACATGAAAAAGTGTGATAATTTTGTTACTCATACTCACGGTTCTCGTTAAACTCTTTAAAGGAAAATTCTTGACCGGCAATATTGTGTATGTATCAAAGATTTTTAATCGTGTTTGGAACCCTTTTCTTGGATGCTTAATCACAGCGGCCTCTTTTACTTTGATTAAAGTCATTTGATTAAACCCCTTTAATAAACTCCTTTTTTGTTTCATTGAGTCGAAACGAAATTATTTTCTTTTTTTATCTATAATCAGCACCTATGCGTAAATTTGGATTGATTTTCTCATGTCTGAAAAATTTCATTATATAGTATGTTGAGATCAGATGAAATGCAATTATTCACAACACTCGCTTGTTTTGATTCGAAAATAATCGCTTCTTTACCACTGAATGGTGCGACAATATTGTTATTAATTTTCCCACTGTAAACACAAAGCAGTTGCAATTTTGACTGGGGGTATCGTTATGTTTACATTGTACATCTTGCCACAATTTCCAAGTTCCTCCTTTGAGTCTTTATCAGAAGAGAACAAAATCAAGCCCAATATTTACACGGTGCACAAAAGCAAAACAATGTGGCTCAAAACACTCGGTAGTCCAGGCACGCGACAGGACTAACTGCGCATGCGTAGGGCGGATTCAATGAACTATAAATGTCACTTTTTTCCTTTTTGAGCCGTCATTTAAAGCGCTCTCTGCGTGTAGACCTTGACAATGCAACTGATTTTTTTAAAACCAGGATATCAAATTAAAACGAAAGTTACAATTTCTTATCTGAAATAAAAATGAATATTAGCATGCTTATTAAATAGTAAGTAAAGCAAAACGGAACTATGCGTAACTTACAAATTACTAGTAATTGTTCGTTTTTTTTTTCTTTCCTTTTTTAACTGGCAGGTCCTCACACAGTTGAAGTGCGTTGAGACCAAAATAATTTCCTATATTTTTTCATATTTAAGCATGGCACAAGAGTTCATCAGATATTTAAATATCCCAACCGTGAATTAGGCTCACCTTCTCATTTCATTCTGATATAAACGATTTTATTTGAAGTGCGTACATGGAGCAGGGGTGTGAAACCCCATGGATTAATTTATGCAAGGGTCGATGTTCATTGCATCACTTCAGACGGGGTGTCGTTGACGTTGATGCAAAACAGCGTTTCAAGGACATTCCTCCAGCCCTAACGTGCATATATATCATTATTTAACGCCTTACCAATGCTAGTTTTCAAGCCGTTCTGAAATGCGACAAGTGCAAGTTTTTTTTAGATATTTGTAAAAATTCACCAGTTGCGTGGATACAACGTCCCATGGTTTTAACGCGTTCTGCGGCGTACTCCGTCTTGGTTCTATTAATAGCAGTAGTTTCGTCCCGAGGAGACACGCCGGTGTAACTGCAACTTTCGCACCTTTCGTTCCTCGTTCCCAGCACAATAATGAAACCGTGTAACGCTATTAATAGCAGGGGGAGTTTGCCGGTGAACCAGGAAGCCAGAGGAGAGAGCAAACTGAACTTAGGCATTCCTATCGCGACGTTCGTGGTTTGTGGTTTGATGGTGGCCGGGGCTAGCCTCTTCCTTGTTAACAAGCACGAAGCGTTGTGCAGGGAGGTGGACGAACTAAAGAGACAGCAACAAAAGCTCAGAGGTGTTTTAGATGACCTGCAAGCGTCTGGAGGAGCCAGAGAAAACTTGAAGACAGCAAAATTGGTAATTATTTTTCAATTAAACTTGAATTAAGCTACGCTTCTTGTTACACGATAAAATGTTGTCGACATAAGTTGTAATACTCGCGGTTGCGCTCAATGCGACGTTCTGGTAAACACCAGAGTAAGGTTTCATTATGCAACGTAATGTAATCAATGTCCCTGAGCTCTTTTTTGTATAGCTTTAAATAATATGCACCGTACAACACACCTGTAATCAACGACGGTTTTCAAAGGGTTAAGGATGCCAATGTTGTGGTCAACGCACGATACGGCTGACCAGTTTAGAGGCAGTAAGCCGAAATCAGTACATGGGCATAAAATAGAAACATGCGGTCCACATTATTAAATATTGCACCAAAAGACGCAAATTTCATTAAACTATGTGACATCACGTCTTGAATCTTTGCATGCACTGGCATTGAGACGATGTGGTCTCCCCTGGCTTAATTCAGTCTCGACAGGCGTGTTTATTTCCCAGTAGTTGTCATTACTCGGTCTCTAACGCAAGTGAAAGTAACCAGTTAAAACAAGCATGGAAACTACGTATTTTTTTATTTTGATGGTACATGTATATGTTCTGCTATCTGATGCTAAAAGGCAGGATTCAGGAATTTTAACTTGACATCTAAGTGGTCTCAAAATAAGGTGACAGAGATTACATGGGTGGGGGGAGCTGCAGTATTCGCCAATTTGAATTCGCCTTAGCTTAAAACAACCCACGGGGTGTCGGGTGACTCCGGAAGAGAGTACTTTGGGTTCTTATTTTTTAATAAAAATACCATTTGTGGCATTTTGTACTTACCACCTTCAGCTACACATACCTAATATTTAACTGTGCTGCATCTTCCACTTGGTAATGTTTATAACTATAAATAATAACTGTAAATATTAAGGTTCATTTCACATACTAGAAAACAGGCTCGTGCAAAATGAATTGCTATACCTTAGTCTTGTATACAGTACTTATACACTGTAGTATGATGCTGTGAGCAGTTGACTCGGCATTAAGACTGCATCTAGTTTGTGATTATGAAATACTGGAAATGTATGTGCAATAATGATGCATATCTTTATATGTAATTTTGCTGCTATTTATATGCGTAATTTTATTTTATTATTACTATTATTATTTTATTTATTTATTTATT